CCTCCCTCCCTCCCTCCCTCCCTCCCTCCCTTTTTTTGCCAGACATAGTAACCTTTCAAGTTAGGTTGAGTCACTCTGAAACAACTGGCTTGCAAGTGTAAGCAATATGGCTAACTCAGGCTTCCCTGAGTACCACCACATATACTGGGAAGGCAGAGAGGCCAAATGGAACCACAGGGGAACAAATGGACTACAGGGCCTGGTCAGGAGAGACCCACAGAGAAAGAGGCATTTTGGGCCATTAGGATTCTCTTATACAATTTCCAGCTTGAAAGGAAAAGAAGAAAACACGAAGTTTCACCAGAATTAAACACATAGTCTAATGTGTACAGAGGTGAACTGGATGAACAGGATGGCCCAGCAACCTCAGTGCCTTCCAGCCTGTCTCAGCCAGGGCGGGCACCTGATCCCAGTTTCATGGCTACCAACTTAAGATTGAGCCTGTAAGCACTGCTCTTGGAACTCACTGAAAGATAATTCCATGCCCCATCTCCTACATGATAGAGGAAAATGGGAAATAAAACATAGGGGAGTCCAAGGAGGTTCACAGATGGCAGACACCATCACACCTGTACTGTTACCATGTCTGTCTGGCTGTGCTGTGATTCTTGTAAATCTAAGAAAATTGGTATTTTAATTATGATTAGTATGATTGTGCGCTGACAGTCATAGCAGTTAGCATAGTAGCAGCTCCACTTCAGGTTTTCTCCTGTAACACATGTAACTTAACCAAGTGGAGGGCTGACAGTCACTTTCGTAAGTGACTAATTGGAAGCCAAGTTAACAACTGTGGACACTGCAAATACACAGGTGATGTCTGATCCTCTCCCTCCAAAGATGGACACCTAGAGACTAAGATAGAAGCCCCTCTATGAGTATAAATGATTGGTTCTTTCATACTGTGATTTTAGACATATTTTACCTGTGGCTCTGACCTAAGAGTATGCACTGTGAAAAAATGCAACTGGAGGCCCCATGCAAGCAAACAAACAAGTCCTTCACCTCATTGCTGACAACTTGCTGGCAATTCAGACCCATCTGAGCATTTCCTTGAAGGGGTTGTTCTTATGGACCACTTGGAAAATTTCTGCTATGGATGCACATTTGATGCCTCCTGCCTCATCCTCCAATCTGTGACAACAGGTGTGTACCATCAGGCTCAGCTTCCTTGGCCTGTATTTCCTTTTATATACTCTGTTTTTGTGTGTCTTTCAAGAAATTAGCTCTTTTGACAGACTATCTTTGACTCATTTGCTTGTTATTTGATTTTAAAAAAGGATTCTTTAAGAAAACATTAACTCTTCAGGTGAAATTACTACCAGATATTTGGAAATAGGGTCTGGTTCACTGCTGGTTCACTGTGAACTGTTGTTTAAAAAAATTGGGGGAGGGGGGGCTGGAAAGTGGCTCAGTGATAGAGTGCTTGCCTTGCATGCATGAGGCCCTGGGTTTGATTCCTCAGCACTACCTAAGCAGAAAAAGCCAAAAGTGGCTCTGTGGCTCAAGTGGTAGAGTGCTAGCCTTGAGTTGAAGAGTTGAGGGACAGCGCCCAGGCGGAATTCAGACCCCACAACCCCCCCAAAAAAATTGGGGGGAGGAGTACATTGGTTGTCATTTTTGTTCTTATACAAATAGAACTGCATAATGGATGTTCAAGGATGGAAAAATATACAGAACACTTAGCTCTTTTAATTACTTAACTATTTTCCTTGGGTTCTCTTTTGTTTTTCTTAAATTTTCTCTAGTGAAGAATTAAAAAGTTTATTTTCTTAATGTTTTTGTTTACTTATTCCTTTTCCCCTTGTCCACAGATCTTTATTTTTTAAAACATAATCTTCAAGTCAAAATAAACATTAATTTAATAAAATTTGTTGTGTCCTTGGCCTCTTTAGATGCACTACAGGTGTGCACCAGATGGGACTATAGGCATGTAGCACCTCACCCTTGGTGGGGCTGTGGGCTAATATCTGTCAATGAGATTGAAGAAGGTAGGGGGCAGGAATACAGCCCATGTGTCTTAAATAACAATGATATATCAACAAAGCATTCCTTAGGGGAACCCCATTACCCTACTCTCAAATGTTTTTTTGTCCAGATATTCATTCTTGTGTATTTGTAATACAAGGCACTAGATACAAGTAAATCTCAACCCTTTCCTCAAACTCACCAAGTGTGTCAAAAAGCCCTATTAGAGGGCTGGAAAGGTGGCTCAGTGGTAGAGCGCTTGCCTTGCAAGCCTGAGGCCCTGGGTTCGATTCCTCAGCACCACATAAGCAAAAAGGAAAAAAAAGCTGGAAGTGGCGCTGTGGCTCAAGTGGTAGAGCGCTAGCCTTGAGCTGAAGAGCTGAGGGACAGTGCCCAGGCCCAGAGTTCAGGCCCCACGACTGGACCCCCCCCCAAAAAAAAGCTCTATTAGAAAATACAAATTTATGATTCTTAAAGTTCTGACATCCTTTTTCCTATTACTCCCCCTTCTCCCTTTTTCTTCTTTAAAATAAATGATTCCTAGCAATTCCTTTAAGGATTTTTCCCGTCACCAAATCCCAGTACGTACCAGCCATGAGTCTTTTATAAAGCATTCCATCTTCCTCAGACAGTTTCTCTCACTGGAGAGTAGCTTTTCAAAAAGACGCAGCATTGCTTTTTCAAGACTGGGAAGGTGCCGAAGCCACAGAGTGATTATAGCTGACAAAGGGAGTGAAATCTTCCTCCTTCAGCAAGAAACAAACAAAATGTTAAACAAATTCCAGGGAAAAAGGGAGATCGACAATGTTCAAATGCAATTACCGATCCAGTTTGGGAAGCCTCTCATCTTGGTGTTGACAGCAGTTAATATTTATAGTATCCATAAGTATTTACTGCATATCCATTTACAAAGTAATGTAACTATGCTTCCAGTCATTAGATAAATGCTCAGAAAGAAAAAAATGATTTTTTTAACTTGGAAAAATTCCCTGTGATGTCTCAGTGAATGCAATCCCTAAGTTAAGAAATAGTTTAAAGTAGAACCAGATCTGAGTTGAATCCTAGAGCTGTGAACTATTAACTAACTGTATGACCCTGGAAAGTCAAGCTAAATTTACCCATCTGTGAAATGGGCCCCTCAATGCTGTGATTAGAAGGATCTAGTACACATACAGAGACTAGAACACTTCTATCATACTGCAAACATGCAATAACTGTAGACATTGTTTGAAAGTTCAAAAATATTTCTTATTTCATGTATGGTGGTTATATTATAGCCTAGTTGAAGAGCAGACCTTAAGAATAATGCTCTGGGGATTAGGAAGGTGGATCAAGTGGTAGAAAGGAGAAGAAGAAGGAGGAGGAGGAAGGAGGGGGGAGGAGGGAAGGAGGGGGAGGGAGGAGGAGAGAAGAAGAAGGAGGAGGAGGAGGGAGGAGGAGGGAAGAAGAAGGAGGAGGAGGAGGAAGAGGAGGAGGAAGAGGAGGAAGGAAGGAAGGAAGGAAGGAAGGAAGGAAGGAAGGAAGGAAGGAAGGAAGGAAGGAAGGAAGGAAAGAAGGAAGGAGGATGCTCTGGAGAACCCTCAATTTCATGTAGTTTTATTTCTATTGGAGGATCCATCCTGTGTCAAATAATTTGGATTGTACTTCCTCTCCTGGAATGTGGGGCACCAGGGAACCTATGGGATACCACAGAACCAGCCTTGCCCACTATATTCCAAACAGGCAGGTACCCTTAAAGTCTACTGCAGATGCTTACAGCTATTAGTAAGGAAAGCCAAAGTGGGCAGAGGCTCCCCATCCTCTGATTCCTTCTCTGCCTATCTCTTCCCCTAATTCTTTGCCAGTTCTCTGCAGAGGTAGTGTGAAGCCCAGGGACCAGAACTATGGCAGGGAAGAAGAGAGCTATTTCCATCAGCATCTTCCATTCTCCTCATGAAGACCTATCCTAGATTGACTCTGTACTAAGAGAGCTGTGAAAAAAGCTGACAGTTGACAGACTGTGGAGTAGCAGACAGGGGGATGATAGAGGGAACACAACCTACCTCTGCAACTCCTCTCATCTCACATTCTCATTCTGAGCTTCAACTTCACCCCTACCAGAGTCCATCTCTCCATTTCCCACAACCATTAAAGAACTGCAAAGTGCCCACACCCCTGAGCGACAAGCCAGGCCATCTACTCAAGATACAAATAGGTAGAAAAGACCAGATTTGGAAGACAATGAGAATGGATAAGAATTCTGCCATTCTGAGTAGGGAGAGGTCAGCAGGAAGCTTCATGAAGAAGGCCCAGCCCCGAGACACCAATACTCAGGAAGCTGTGTCACCAGAGTTAAAACTTGAGAAGAAAGGCCTAGCTGTGATCAGTGCTGTCCAAAGACTGAGAAGGGAACAAATCAGGAGCACTGTGCCAACGTATGCCCTGGAAGGAAGAGCAATGAGGAGGAAAATGCAGAAGAGGGGTTAGAAAGGAAGCCAGGACAGGTCTCCAGAGGAATGACTGTGACAAGACAGATGCGAGGGATTACCCTGAGTGAAGGCCTTGGGCGCTCCTGGAAGGTAGTTTTCCCAAGGTGGTAACTTCAATGAACACTTATAAACAAAAACAAAAACTTAGCTCCCCCAAATTCCCAGCCGATAATTAAGGGGAGTCTTCTGTATTGCAGGTGTGTTTTAGGTAACTAGTTAAGCATTTGGGGTTTACATGTGCAAGTAATGGTTCTCCCTGTTAAATAATGAAAAATGAGTTCCCAGGTGGTGCATTCACATGGAACATTTTTTTTTGTGTGTTTTTTTTTTTGGGGGGGGGTCCGGTCATGGGCCTGAACTCTGGGCCTAGGCGCTGTCCCTTAGCTCTTCAGCTCAAGGCTAGCGCTCTACCACTTGAGCCACAGCGCCACTTCCAGCTTTTTTTTTCCTTTTTGCTTATGTGGTGCTGAGGAATCGAACCCAGGGCCTCATGCATGCAAGGCAAGTGCTCTACCACTGAGCCACCTTCCCAGCCCCGAACATTTGTTTTTTAATGATGATTTTTGAAATAAAGCAGAAGCTTGGGCAAGACAAGTTTCCTGTTCAATACCTGCTAGTAGACTCTTCCCAACAGGTACCTCCCTCAACATTAAGAAGACTTACTGTTTCCCAAAGTACTCATTTTAGTGAGGCAGAGACTTACCTCATCCTCTCCATAAAAAAACAGGGAGTGGATAAAGAAATTGGTACGTCTACTTATTAAATATTTGTGACTCAAAATGCTTTTTAAAAAAAACATCTATAAAAGAAAAACAAGAAAGGTTCATGGTGAAAGTGAGCTTGTGAGGGGCATATTCTATGTTCTAAAGCTATCTAGTGTCAAGAAAGGCTGGAGCTTCCTCAGCTAACATAAATGTGCTTTTTGTTCTTATTGGTTTGGGTTTTTCAGACAGGGTTTTACTACATATAGTCTAGGCTGGCCTTGAATTCAACAATCCTACTGCTTCTGCTTCCTGAGTGCTGATTATAAGCAGAGAGAAGTCCAAGCTGTTTATGCTGCCTAAGACACAGAAAAAAATTGGGATCAATTTTCTGGAGAATTAATTTCAAGGAATTAGGAAAAACACTCTATTAATCTTGTTGAAGGGGAAAGGGAGAATGAGTAAAGGGGTGAGATCAGATTGTTACATATTGTCAACGTGTGAAAATATAGCAATGAAATCCTCCTCTGTATAACTAAGCTAATAAAAAATGCTAAGAAGAAATTTAGCCATAGATATGTGCCTAATATGGGAAGACTGTGGGAAGACAATCACCTACAAGCTAAAGAAAAGCATGTTTAATATATATATATATTGTTGTTGTTGTTGGTTGTAGGTTTGAACTCAGGGCCTGGGCACTGTCCCTGAGACTCTTTGTGCTTGAGGCTAGCACTCTACCACTTGAGCCACAGTGCCAATTTAATGGGAGATAACAGTCTCACGAGAACTTTTCTTCCCAGGCTGACTTTGAACTGTGATCCTTAGATCTCAGCCTCCTGAGTAGCTAGGATTACAGGTGTAAGCCACCGGTGCTTGGCTGGAAAAGGGTTTTAGAAAAAAAACCAAAAACAAAAAAACATTGCTCACACTTGATCTCAGAGTTCCAGACTCTGTAACTGTGAAAAAATAAACTTCTGTTATTCAAGCCAAAAACAAAACAAAATTCCCAAACCTACACTTCTCTATTATGTTGTAAATTTGTATTGACCTGATAACATGATCTTTGCACCATATCAAAACTGAGAAATGTGTGCCACTGTTATCATATGCATATACAAAGTGCCTCACTACTCTAAGCAAAGTGCAGCAACTGCCCAGGTGAAAACATTGTCCAAAGCAAAGTGTACTGGAATTTTTCCTTAGAAATCAGTATTAGCAGATTTTGTATGTGAAAACCTTTTATCAATGACTAAATTTATGATATTTTATTAAGGATGGGGGGAATAGAGGGTGAGAAAGAAAGAAATGAGCAAATGTATTTCAGAAAGTCTCAATCGGTGAAAGAATAGAAATGAGAGTTTTATTATTGTTTCACTCCCCTTCTGTCCTTGGTATCACACTAATCTTCATTTATTTGAACATTCATGTATAATATTTGACAAAAAACTTATAGATTGATTTTTTTTCAAGTTAGGGGGAAAAAATTTTCCATCCCTCAGGACACCCAATTATGTACTGTATGGTTCTATTTTATTTGGACTCAAGCAACTCAGGGTTAGTGCAGAACCCAGAGATTAAAGGCCTCTGAGCCTTCTATTGTAAATAGGAGGTTCCTATAACCCCCTCTTCAGGTTTAATCATTTGCTAGAACAGCTCACAAAACTCAGGAAAGCCTGTTCCTTACTGCTACCAGTTTCTTATAAAGGACACAACTCAGGAATGGCCAAATGGAAGAGATGCATAGAACAATGTGCAGAAAGTGTTTCAGTTTTCCCTGCCCCCTCTACATGCACCAGTACCCCACCAGCTTGATTGTTTACCAACCCAAAAGCTCTCAAATCCCGTTGTATAGGTTGGTTTTGTTTGTTTGTTTTTGCCAGTCCTGGGCTTTGAACTCAGGTTCTGGGCACTGTCCCTGAGCTTCTTTTGCTCAAGGCTAGCACTCTCCCACCTGAGCCACAGCACTAGTTCCAGCTTTTTCTGTTTATGTGGTACTGAGGAATTGAACCCAGGGCTTCATGTGTGCTAGTGAAAGCACTCTACCACTGAGCCACATTTCCATCCCAGTATAGGAGTTTTCATGGAGGCCTTACTACAAAGGCATGATTGATACTGGCTGCTGCTGATTAAGTCCAGTTCCAGAAATCAGGAGTAGGGCTGAAAGTTCCAGAGCTTCATTCACGTGGTTGCTTCCTCAGGTTGCCAGCCCCCCTATTGCAGCACCCTTCCCCCATCATCCTGAAACTCTCAGGATAGACCAGAACTCACCCTAATAGCATAAACTGAGCTATGGTTGAGAGGAGCCTAGCATAACAAAAGATGCTCCTCTCGCTTCTGCCATTAAGAAAATTCCAAGTGTTTTAGAAACTTGGACAGAGACCACATATTTCTTATTACATCCCAATGTCACATTTGTACATTTATTCTTAAGTTTGTTCACTGGCAAAACCATTCCACACAGTCATTAAGACTTGTCAGTGTTTTTGAACCAATGGACTTGGATTCACCTCAGAAGATATGTCATACTGAATTACTTACACTTCACAGACTGAAGAAGGAACCCCAGCAGCCCTCCCA